GAGAGCCTCGTCATCTGATCATCACTCTCACTTTCATCACCCTCTTCCTCTATCTCAACCTCCTTAGCTTTAAAAGTTGTTTTAGATCCTTTTTTTTTCCTTCTTACTTGTCTGAAGGTATAGCACATAGGTCATCAAAGATCCTATCAATTCTTCAACCTTCATGCTCTCTACTCGATGATCTGAGATCTTTTTCACAATTTTATTATTTTTCAAAGGTGTAAGCTGAGTTGGCAATGTCACTTAATTCGGCATAGAGGTCTTAAAAGTGGTCATCATCTCTCATAGCCAATTACTCAAATTCAAATATCAACATTTGGAGTTTAGAAAACTTCACCCACTCATCTGCTCGTTTATCTCTTTCTACATCCTTTTTAATAATCGGGGGAGTTTTATAGCCATACACAATCAATTGCCATTGCTTTCTCATCTAATGATTGGACATAGACTTGCATTCTAATTTTTCAATGCAAATAATTAGTCTCACCTAAGACATGAGGTTTAAACGGTGCTACGTCAATTACTAGGATTGATGCAGATCTATCTTTTTAAAAGTGAACCCTCTATGATACTAATTGTAAATACTAAAACCCAGTTTATTAATCAATGTGTCTCAATTACACGTACTTGGCAGATTTTTCCAGTCAGTCAGAACTTCCTTCAGGCACTTTTAAGCACAGTTCTAACTGAAAAAGATTAATAGATTAACTTTCTACGTGTTATAATTTATTGCGAAAATAAATAACAATGAACATCAAATATAACTCGGTAAATCCTCAAGGGAAACATCCACGGAACCCCATGCTACGGGTAAAATAATCCATTATCAAAAATTCAAAAATACAATAGTTTCAATTTAGTAATTTCATAAAATTAACTAAACAATCAAAAGTAAATAAAGAACAACTCCCTTATTTTACTATTTGTTTTGACTTGTTCAAGAAGTCGAATCAAACCCTCTGGTGTTGATTTTATTGTCACTTTACTATTGTATTTTATCGCAACCACTACTTGGATTAAGATTCGTCGATCTTAATTCATACGAAGCATCCTAATCTTTGAGTAGGATTATATTATTCATGCTCAGGAATGTTCTCTTCAATTATAATTGAAGAAAACAATTTTTTGTTCCAAAATACTTCATTGAAATATTAGCCGGTCAAAACTCAATGGAGAAGGTCTAAAGACACTTTAACTTTGTGCTGCAGGATTGCCAAATGTAAATAGTTTACCCTCAAAACATTCAAATATCCCTTAATAATTTTTTCTACTTGTGTAGAGGCTTCTCCAAGGCACGAATGTGCCTCATTTAAAATATGAAAGTTTTTCACTGTAAGAATAATATAGAAATATGTTTGATATGATCAATAATTAAATCAAGGAAAATTTTATTTAATTAAAATAATTTTTCCTTATTTTAATTATTTGACTAATCAAACCCATCCAAGATGTTAAGTATGTGTTCCTGTATATGCTACTATAAGGTAAGTAAAAATTGCACCTCGTTTAGGGTTTGTAAAAACTGTAGTCAAGATTTTGTTAACCTGTAGCATCCAGTTAATTTAATTGACTGGCTTACCTTTTTTTTTTGACTTGCAATTAAACACTTTTTTTGCACATATTTTGACAATTAAAAATCATTCTAATTTAAGCAAGTCAATAAATAAATAATAAGTAAAAATATAAAATATATTTTAATTATAGAAGTCATCATAAACTTTTTAAGTGCATTTATGAACTTTTCCCATTCTTTAATCTATTTAAGTGTGTGTTTGAATAGTTTATAATTGCTTATGAGTTTATTTTTATCACATTCGTAAAACAACTTACCGTTTTTTTTTTTTTTTTTCCATACATTTTTATAAACCTATGATGTACAAGCACTTAAAAAATTGGCCAAAAATTGCACGAACACTGAATCCTGGTTATCGGCTTCTAAGGTGTCACGAGGCCGTACACCTATGAGGTCTGACTACGCAAATTTTTGTAACCATACCCGACAAGTTATTACAATTTACATTAACTGTGCGAATTAAAAAAAAAAAATACTAAAAAATATCAATGATTGCTTAAAGTAATAATATTGAGTTATTATATTGCATGTCAACCTCCCGTGGCTCAACTGGTTAACACATGGAATCCTTTATGGTTTAATTCATTTTTGATCATTGAATTTTTAGTAAAATCTCAACGGGAACACTCAACTTTAAATTATTTTGAAATCTAGCAGTCAAGACTTGATTATGTTGTATATTTACATGAAAGTACAAGACACATTAGATTATTTGTCAAAATTTAAAGTACAAGTAGCATATGGATGTTACTTTATTAAATTAAAATTTTAATTGAGATAAATTAATAGTTGAGTTACCCAATTAAAGTTTCACTATAAGTTTGGTGACCATAAATGAAAATAACCCAATCTTTTACGTTCTTTAAATTTTCAAATAGTGTCTTGAGACCAACCTGTCTCGATCTTTACACGCAACACTGACATTTTTAATAGCCATGTTTACTGGGTCCATCGAAAAATTAATTGAGGGCCAGCATATTAGGTGCAAAAGATGCGCTCATGAAAACAATGCACCCCATGTGCAAATACCATGAACCGAAGCACCGCAAGGAAATGTTGTGCTGTATGCACAACTCTCTCACAATCACGGGTTCATGATTTGTCCACGATTAAAATAATTATAGAACTCACCTTTTGTATGTGAGGATTGTCAACCATAATGTCAAAATTGCTATGCATTGTTCTTTTTTATTTGCCTCGGTTATAGATTTGGCCAAATTCAAAACTTGTTTATTTATTTTTAAAACGTAATCTAAATTTACTTATTCAACAAGAGCTCATGCTCGACCAACCTCTATAAAGGTTTTATAATCTATCAAATAATTTAAATTATTTAAAAACACTTTATTAGTGCTTGTTCTGCAGTATTTTATACGTTTAAAAGTTAGTCAGACGTTATTTTTAATTGTATAATTTTTAGAACCTATAACTTTCATCTATCACAAGTTCTTCCTTGTAAGTGCTTAAAAAGGCTTAGCAAACAAGAACTTCAAGATTGGATTTTAACTCCAAGAACTCCAACCAAACTTTAAAATGTCATAAAACGCCAATTTGGTGTGGAAATGATATTATAATCGGACTTTAAGTTTTTAATTGAAATTAGATTAGGATATAGTGTTACTTTCAAATACTGGACACCTAAAAGTATACTACTGAATTGAAAGTGTTTTGATGTTGGGCAAATTTGATTCAACAGATTTCATTTGGTGTAATATATACAATTTTAATTATATATCATCTTGTCCTTCATTTTATACAATAATAAATTTTAATTCCTATTATATCATTTTATTTCTTAATGATTTAATTTTATTTATGTTAATTTAATTATTATTGTTATTATATTTAAAATAATTACAATCAAATAATAAATAATAACTAAATACATTAATATAAAATTACTCATTAAATCTCACAATTTACAATTTTGAAAATTACAAATTTAAAAGAAAATAGAAATACAACTACCAAAAATATTGTAATTTATGGTTTTTTAATTTAGTAGAGATAATTTAATAAACTATATGTAATATTTAATTTAGTAATTTTAGTAATAATAGATTATTTAATTACATATATATATTTTTAAATAAATTAGTTAATGTAAAATAAAAAATAAGAAAACAAATGATTTTTTTTTCTTTTTGCTTTTTTTGCTCAATATTTGGTGTAATGGGTTTGAGAAAACTAAGGTCCCGTTTGGTAGCCATTTTTTTCAAAATGCATTTTTCCCTCTCTTCTTTTCAACAACACATTTTTTATTAAAATAATATTACACGCAAATAAAAAACTTTTCCTTATTTTTCAACCACACATTTCACATCAATTTACTATTCTAAAATGCATTTTTACATAAAAATGACTATCAAACACTCTCTAAATAAGATGGTGTGAAAGTTGTACCATTTTGATGAAATGGGTTGGAGCTGGTTTCACCTTATTCCATCCTAAATTTTAGCAAAGTAATTATACTCTATATATGTGTACACGAACAAAATGAGATTGTGACTGGATTCACATTGTTTATCTCTTTCCTTTTGTTGTTAACTAAGACAGAGAAATATAAGTAATGATTTGGCATATGTTGTTACCTCTAATATGAGCTAGACTTTGTGACATTCATAGTGTAACCCCCTATTATGTTGTGACATGTTTGCCCTTGTGACTTTTCCCTAAAATTGTGACGAATAATAAAAAATGAGTTAACTTTGACGTATATTATCCTACACAAAAGTTAAAATGTGATTAGTGTTATATTACCTAATTTATGAGAAAGGAAACTAAAAGACATGGCTTGATCCAATATTCTCGAATAAGAATCAGTACGCTCTTTGGGCTCTTTTTATTTGTCGATAAAATGTAAATTTGAGAAATTATATAATGACAAAAATAAGTAACCTAAGAGGTAAATAAACTTATTTTTTTAAGTCCAACAATATGCATATCCATACGTGGCACTGTGTATGTGGGGTGGAGTGGAGGGGGATTTCCTTTTCACAAAATTCTAACTAGATAGCATTAGAGGTTCTGTCTTCTTTCCTTGGATGCTTCACTTTATTTCACTTTGCATCATCTTTTTTGTTCCAAAAAATTAACTTGCTTTTTAATAGGAAAAGTTTCAGATACGGAAGATTAATCAGTGATGCAGGCTTCGTATTCTCTTATATGATTGATAAGATATGGAAGTTTTAATAATTAAATTGGTATTGGGAAAAGAAAAGAATAAGCAAAGTTGGCAAATTAAGCATCAAGAATATTGATAACTCTGTATTAGTAAAATAATTAACATTTTTTCGCTTATACAAGTTATATAAGTTGGCAAAACATGCCTTATTAACCAAGAAAGAGATTCTGCACTATGGAAGAAGAATTTGAACTCTTTAATATTGTTGTGTCCTCAAATGCCGTGGCTAAGATAATATAGAGGTTTCCATGCAAATATTGTTATCTATCTTCGTAAATTCTAATAACCCGATTCATTACAACAGTATTCATTACAGAGATTATTATTTCTGCTGAATTCAAGTGAAAGATTGAAAACTAACAAAATTACTGTTAAGAAATCTCAGTGATCCCGCTTGAACAAGACGGAGAAGCAATTTTGGAAATATTTTTTGCCAAAGTCATAGCTGGTCTCTTCACTTTCTTCCGAAATACGCAGCAAACAACCCACTCTCCCTCGGGCATCGTGATTTTCTGCAGAAGATTGTCGATGAACAAGATCTTAGCTAATTTTTCTATTTTACTATCCAAGGATATATTTATTTTCATACCTGAGTTGAGAATGAAGTTACTAGAGAGTATTGGTGCATAACCCAACTAGTTTTTGTGCAGTTCCCTTTATAGAATATGAGGGATTTCTTCACCCCAATTGTTTGGTTATTTCCAGGAGCTACTATTTTCTTATATTTCCCAATGGATTTCCAGTAGCCACTACTACACTTGTTCAAATTCATAGTTCTTTTGCTGAAGAAATATCTCTTCTCGGACGAGTCACCTATAATCGTTATGCATTAAGCCTTAATCCCCAGAAAAATAGTAAACAAAATGAAATCAGAAACACACATAATAATTAAGAACTAACCTGGCAAGTCACTGGGATTAGTTTGGAAAACATCCAATTCAGGAATGACAGTGGCAGGCAATTGCAGAGAATAGACCTTTCTCTTCAAGTAGTGAATGATCAATTCTTCATCTGTGGGATAGAATCTAAACCCAACAGGAATTTTTACATCCTTATTTCTTTGAATCTCCATTTTCAGAGAATTTATCCCTCCCAAAGCCTTGAAACAATAAATTTGAGCCCCCAATTTATGAACCCATTTTCGAAAAGTTTGCACTGCAAATGGGTTTGTAGATGGAAAAATAATGCCTCAGTCTGATGTTGTGGGCTTGGTTGGAAGAAATTATGGAGTTGGGTTTTTATAGGGGAATTGGAGGAGAAATTCTAATGTCTATGTTCTATTATTCTGAATCCAATTCCTTCCTTAACTTGTAATTTCTTCATTTTGACCAAAATAAATGGTCCATTCACAAAATGGTCCTACCCCCCGGCCCCCTTTTTTTTTATAGGAATCAATTTTTCAATTAATTTTAACATTTTTTTTAAATACAAAATTTTGAAAGTGATCGCTTACGTTATTTGGGTGAATGTCACTTGTAGTCACTAAGCTTTTAGAGAACCCTCAATTGGATCATAAGACTTTAATTTGTCTCAACTTGATTGTAGAATTTCAATTCAATTTAATTGACTCATTGAAATTCAATTTTTGTTTCAACCACTCTTTCTATTATCTCTCAAATTGATAAGAATTGCTACAATGCTACCATACCAATAATGGATCTCCCGTGCAATCTTTGCTTGACATGTCAACTTAATAATATGTTGTCATAAAATGTGCAAAAAAGAAACACACATATAATATAAATATATTATCATAACCATCATTTTCTATTTTTTCGTTATAGGGTGCCATGTTGTGTTAGATAAGGTATAAGAAGAATGCCAAATAATGAATTTTGGAAGATGATAGGTGACTAAATATGACATGGTAAAGAAATTTTAACCTAAATTAAAGTTTATTTACGTAACTGAGATAAACTAAAGTTGAGTGATCTAATTTAAATTACAGTAAAAGTTCAATGACACGAATGAGATTTACCTTAAGTTACTTCTTATTTAAATTATTAAAAGTAAGTTTACTAGCATGTCCCCCCCCCCTTTTTTTTTTTTTTTTTTTTTTTTCTGTCAATCCAAGCGCATTCACCGCTCCATTATCCCTATTCCCCAACCATTACTCCGCGGCTTGATAATTTCCACCTTCAATCTAGGGTCATGATCTATGCCAATTATTCCAAACACTGCTTAATTACATATAATGGTCACCAAACAATCATATTACTTAAGAAACAAGTAGATGTCATTGCTGTAATAAATGCGAATATCAGTTCCATAATCCCACTGAATTAGGTTCACTTGGCGATTTTATTTTACCCAAAAGATATTACTTTTGTCCATTAAGATCCAACATCTTAATGAGTGGTGTATGTTTGTTATTCATTAAAGAGTGACTTGTAATAAAAAGTAAGGTTTAAACGTGACTTGTTTCTTAATTGATTGTGTTATAAACTAGCCCAACGTTATAGTCGAGCGGGGTTGATTTCAAGTCTCGCTTCAAACAAACATATTTAAAAGTAAAAAACTACTCATACAATATTAATACCGGCAGAGTTGGCTTCCTCAAAATGGGTTCACACTAGAGCAACTCCATCCACGCATATAATACATTAAGCCCTGGTTTGAACCCCATTCTGAAAAAAAAAATTTCATTTTTAAACAGTACTTTGACATCATTTAAACCACACATTTTTCAATAAAATATTATTACACTCAAATCTAGAATTTTTCCTTATTTTTTAATCACACATTTCATATCATTGCAGTATTCAAAAATATATTTTCTTGACAAAAATGGGGCTCAAACAAGAGATTATACTATTCTCAAAAATGTTGTTTGAGACAAATTTGAACTTACTCGGTTGAGTACATAGAATATACTTGTATACTCCGTTTATCTGATTAGTATTTTTTTTTAAATGCCATTCTATTGGAAGATTAATAAGAGTTCATCATCATTTATTAGAATGTTAATTACTTCAAAATATTGATTAGTATAAATGAATTCAAACCCCCACATGGAAGACATCTCTAAGTGCGTGTATTTGTTTGGAAACATTGAATATTATTTCTTCCATTCAGAGAGGAAGATGGGAATGCCTAGGTTTTGTCATTTGTATTCTTCCATGTGAAAGTATTCTACGACAAAAAGAAAAGAAACACAACAAAATAATTGGTCGTTCACATAGTTGATATTGTATTCTTGTCTGACAACTCGAGCAATTAGGATGTTAATATATACCGTCACTAGCTCAATCAATAAGTTACTGTTTAATGGATTGGTCAATAATGAAACATATTTATTTGTTGAGGAAAAATTAGGATTCTGTTCGTCAACGTTTCACATAGTATGGCTATAAGTTTCCAACTTTCGAAATAAATGTTTTGAGTTTCCAACTATTAAAATTTGAAAATTTCGGTCCCCACTATGAAAATCGATACTTTGAACATTAAAATCACCGGCAACTTTAATTTGAATTGAAAATAAATATCAAATGGTTTGACGATTTTGTCCACTAATTGAAAGTTATGTGAAAGCTGCGTATTATTTTATCATCTCATTTGTTATTTCTTTCACATATGGACCTTGATCCGCATACATAACTAAGTTGGAACTCAAAACTCACTTTTAAATATTGGACACCAATTACCATGCCACGTGAAGGATTCAGGAGCCTATTAATTTTCTCATTCGTTGAATAATTAAATTATAATTTTGAGAATAAAATTCACTAAACACTTAATTGAAAGAAACACCGACAAATTGTTGAAGACTTTCTTGAAAACTTCAAAATGAAGATACAAGCAAAAGTAATATAAATAATAGTACAATAATATTATGGAATTCTAAAACTAAAAAGAAAGACAATAATAAGAGGGAAAAAGAGAGAAAATTAGAAAGAGTCAATACTCTGTGTATTTTTATTAAGAGCTAAAATTTTATATTTATATGTAAGAAGTGGGAATGCAAGGTACAACAGTCTCATGTACAATTATTTGATAAAAACACAGAGGGACAAAAATTTTGGACGAAGAAAAAAAATAATACAATTATTTTTCGAAGTATTAAAGAAATGTTTTATCATTAAAATTTGTCGAGAATCCAATAAGATAAAACTTGAGTGAAGGGAAAAGAGTAAAAGTTACTCCACAACTGGAAACTTTCAAATCGACATATTTCTATATCGTGTACCAACTTCTTAAATATAGATGTTGACAGTACTTTTATCAAAAGTTTAGCCACATTATCTCATAAGTGAATTTGTTGAACATTGTGTTACCAGTTTTCTGAAGCTCAAATCCTAGAGAATTATACTTTGTCATGTCCCTTTTAATAATGAGTATGATAGTGTGTTGAAGTTCAAATTTTGTTGTTACTCTCTTCCAGAGTCTCGTAAAATTTTTATAGAAGGTAAATATTGTATAGGTTATGAACATTCATTACATAAATAATGTCTCATAAAACCTTACTAGAAAATCATGTAAAAAAAATTCTAATGAGAGAAAAGAGTACATTATTGTTTTGAATAACCATCAATAATTGTCTAAAGTCTAATTAAAAATTTTATCGTATAAATTCAATGAGACAAAATCTTAATCAAAGAAAAGAGTAAACATGTATTTACTCTCCATATGATAATATTATTTGAACTTATATACTTTAGGTATATTAAATCATTTAAGCATTTTTATAAATAGTATTATTAAGGGTTAACTTCACAAATGGTCACTGAACTTACAGAAAAATTACAAAACGGTCACAGAAGTTTAAAACTTTCAGTAACGGTCACTTAAGTATTGGGACGCTTTCAAAAATGGTCACTGAAGTTTAAAATTTTTTTAGCTACTTTTGCGGTAATTTTTCGACCACTTCCAACCACCGATACCACCGAAATTTGATACCGTTGGAAACCCTACAATGTCCTTTTCAATTACAACAAAAAATATCCCCCAAACTCTAAGGATTCGGCCGGAGTAAACCCACAAAGTTGGCTACCCGAAAAGGCAAAAATCTGTCCAAATTTTCAGATTTTTGGTGGACTTTTGCGGCGATTTTTTGTCAACTTCCGACCACCAAAATAGCCAAATTTTGATACCGTTAGAAAGCCCACAATGTTCTCTTTAATTAGAATCCAAAATCTCCCCAAAATTTCAAAAGATTCGGTCGGAATAAACTCACAAAGTTGACATCCCAGATTTTCACCTTTTTGGGAAGCCGATTTTGCGGGTTTATTCTGGCCGAATTCTTTGGAGTTTGGGGGAGATTTTAGATGGTAATTGAAGAGGACATTGTGGGCTTTCCAACGGTATCAAAATCCGACAGGCTTGATGGTCGAAAGTCGCTGGAAAATTGCCGTAAAAGTCGCCCAAAATCTGAAAATCTAGGCAGATTTTCAGATTTTTTGGGGCGACTTTTGCGATGATTTTCTGGTCGAATTCCTTGGTATTACGGAGAGATTTTGAGTGGTAATTGAAGAGAACATTGTGAGCTTTCCAACGGTATCAAAATTCGATAGTATCGGTGGTTGAAAGTAGCCTAAAAATTGCCGCAAATGTAACAAAAAAAAAAACTAAAAAAGTGTTTTTCAATTTCAGTGACCATTTCAGAAACTTTTTAAACTTCAGTGACCGTTTTTTAAAGCGTCCCAATATTTAAGTGACCGTTACTGAAAATTTTAAATTTCAGTAACCATTTTGTAATTTTTCTGTAAGTTCAGTGACCGTTTTTGAAATTAACCCTATTATTAAACATGTCAGTTTGTCATAATTACATGACACACATTGACGTTTATGCATTCCAAAATTTATTACATTAGGAATCGTATATTACATATTATGATATACGTATTATGATTTCGTGTTTTTATTTACTTTTTGTATAAGTATATATATTTTGGTGTTCGACTTACAGGTCTAAAAATTTTAAATTTTCTAGTAAGTTCAATTTTGCTGGATTACATGCTTTTATATGGACCAATTATTTCTATATTAATATTCTTCAAAGAATTTCCTCTAATATTATCGCTATCATTTATAGTATGAAGTGCTATATTATGTACACAATGTGTTGTCAACAACTATAGCATTAACAAGCATGTCATATGAGTTTGTTATAATTATATTTATCTTATGCACATCGAATTTTATGCATTTCGAAATCTATTATTTTAGTTTAAGTATATTACATACTACGAATTCATTTTTCTCATTTCCTTGTCGCATAAATATATACATTTTGCTATTGAGACTGTAGTTCTAGA